ATCGGAATGTTGTTGCATCCACCACTGGAGAATAAGTCTCCTCATAATCGATTCCGGGTCTCTGTGAGAATCCTTGTGCTACAAACCGTGCTTTGTATCGAACGACTTCACCGAGTTCGTTCCTTTTGCGCACAAAGACCCATTTGTGGCCCACTGGCTTGATGTGTGATGGGGTCCGGATGATCGGACCGAACATGTTTCTGAGTTTGAGACTCTTTAACTCCACGTTTATGGCTTCTTTCCATTTTAGCCAATCTGTTCGATGTGTACACTGTGTTATTGACGTGGGTTCTAGATCCTCTTGCGTGAGCGCAACATCAAGTGCTACTTTGTATGCAAAGAGTGCATTTAAGTCGACTTCTTTTCGATTCCATTGTATTCCGGACATATTGTAATTGATGGAGATCTCATTGTTATCTTCTGAACCTGGAGATTTAGCGTCCCGAACTTCCATTGAGGGTTCATTAGATTGAGTCTCAGCCGCGGCTATGTCTGATATTGCAGGAATCCCGGTTTCGGTTATTGCACCTTTCTTTGATTTCCGGAGATTCTTATCTTTGGAACCGAGTGGTCTGCCCCGTTTGAGACGTGGTGCAGACTCTGTAGCAACTTGGGTCTGTCCCGTTGGGACAGCTATTCGTACTGGTGCATTACAAGCTGGGATGTACGATTTGGTTACTTTGGTCGGGTCAGCAAAGGAATCTGGCAATTGATTAGCTAGCTTTTGATAATGAATAATCTTTTGGATCTCTGAATCACATTCTAGAGTCCGAGGATCTTGCCAATTTAATGATGTTTGATTCCATGAAAGATCTTTGACCAGCTTGTTTGTCTCACCACCTAAAGAGGGATATACCGATTCATCGAATTGGCAATCCGCATATCTGGCCTTGAAGAGATCTCCAGTGGTTGGCTCGAGATATCTTATGATGGTGGGAGAGTCAAAACCAACATATATTCCCATCCTTCTTTGAGGTCCCATTTTGGTTCGATGTGGTGGAGCAATGGGTACATATACTGAACACCCAAATGTTTTGAGATGGGAGATGTCTGGCTCATGACCCGAGAGTAGTTGGGATGGGGAATATTTGTGTTCACTAGATGGCCGGATGCGTATGAGTTCAGCAGCATGTAATACTGCATGTCCCCATGCTGAGGCCGGGAGCTTTGATCTCATGAGTAATGGTCGGGCTATCCATTGAATGCGTTTAATGAATGATTCAGCCAATCCATTTTGAGTATGGACATGTGCTACAGGATGTTCCACGGTTACCCCCATGGACATACAGTAGTCATTAAACGCTTGTGAGGTAAATTCACCAGCATTGTCAAGGCGGATAGTCTTTAGTGGGAAGTCAGGGAAATGGGCCCACAATTTTATGATTTGGGCCAAGAACCTAGCGAAGGCTTGGTTCCGAGAGGACAAGAGACAAACATATGACCAACGGGTCGATGCGTCTATAAGGAACATGAAGTACCGGAATGGTCCGGAAGATGGATGTATAGGTCCACAGATATCGCCCTGGATTCTTTCTAGGAAATGAAGTGTTTGTTTAGAGATTTTAACTGGTGAAGGCCGAGTGATCAATTTGCCTTGAGAACAAGCTGTGCACATGAGGTGTTGAGGATAAGCTCGGTTTTCTTTGAGGGTATGCCCTTGAGAGTTTTGAATTAGTTTACGCATCATATTTGCACCGGGATGACCGAGCCGGTCGTGCCAAATAGTATAATCAGTAAACCGGGCTTTGAGAGTGGTATTAGCTTCAATCATACTGACTTTAGCATGGTAAAGTCCAGTAGAGAGCGCAGGTATGGTTTCGAGGATTTGTTTATGGCCGTCTACGGTTTTAGTGACTAGGAGGGATTCTTTGTTCCCTTGACCTTGGGTTTCTATGTGGAAACCATTCTGTCTTATATCCTTGAAGCTCAGAAGATTTCTCTTCGAACTAGGAGAATATAGAGCATCTGGTATTTCAAGTTGTGTGCCATTTGATAGCAACACATAGGCATGGCCATATCCTTCGATAAGGTTTGAGGGACCCGCGATGGTGCTAATATTTGCGGTTTGATAGGTTAGGTTTATGAAGTAACTTTTGTTTCTTAAGATAGTGTGGCTGGATCCACTATCTACGACTATGGTTTCCATTTGCTGGTGTGCTTTATTATGAATAGAAGATAGAATTCAGTATTGAGGAATTCAGAAAATGTGATAAATCATAAAGTAAAGCAGTGTCTGAGAATAAAGGCAAATGGAAAAAAAAATGAAACAAATCCCAAAATGAAAAAAATAAAGAACAAAATCAAATTGTATCAGAGTTTCAGATGATTGAATTAATCGAGGAGATCAGCTGTTTCATAGTCCATGGGGTCGGTCTGCTCGTTTGTGGTGTTCTCATCATCAAGGAGGTCGTCACCTTCCAGGTTAGCAGCATCGACTGGCTGAGTCATGTTGGCTTCAGCAGGAGCTTTTCCGTACTTCTGGTATAGATCGCAGTGGATCTTGGGGGTGCGACATTGCTTTGTTGGGTGGTTGAACATCCCACATCTGGTACAAGCAGAGTGATCGGGGTTGGTGTGGCGGGTCGGCTTGGTGATGCCTCGACCACGACCAGGACCATAACTGAGGTTAGGTCGGTTGCCACGACCATGTCCGCGTCCACGTCTTCCACGTCCATGTCCTCGGCCATTACACGTCCATTACCACGTCCACGGCGGTGATCTGAGGATCTATCGGGTTGAACATGGTAGGACTCTTGACGAGAAGCTGGGACAGGAGCCGATCCCGGGGGCCTCATAGCGCTGTTCCTCATAAGCAGCTGGTTATTCTTCTCAGCGAGGAGAAGACAGGACAACAAGTCTTCGTACAATGTGTGTTTCATTGCACGGTATTGTTGTTGGAGCACAACATTCTCTGTGCTGAATGTGGATAATGTTTTCTCGAGGAGATCATTATCTGTCACATCCTCGCCACAGAGTTTCCGGATGGCAACAATACGAAAGAGTTCGTTGTTGTAATCATCTACGGATTTGTAGTCCTGGAACCGAAGGTTCTTCCAGTCGAAATCTGCCTGAGGCAACTAGACCATTTTCTGATGGTCATATCGCTTTTTCAGCGCTTGCCACAATTCAAGTGGATTCTCAAGAGTGAGATATTGCTGCTTAAGGCTCGGGGCCAGATGATGGCGTATGTGACATATCGCCTGAGACTGTCCCTTACGGGATGCGGTGTTACCGTCGGTAATACACGCATCGAGTTCTTTTGATGCGAGGAACAAGCGCATGTCTAGGGCCCACTCGAGGTAGTTATCCCCGGAGACGTGAAGGGCCTCGAATTCACATTTCTGAATGTTTGACATCTGAAACATGAGATTGATTTTGTTAGGGATTGTTTTGAGAAAATTTTGAATGCTGATGATGAAACTTTCTATTTTGAGAATATTTCTATTTTAGGAAAGTTTCTAAATTTGGAAAGTTTCTAATTTGGGTAATTTTCTAAATGAGGAAAGTTTCTATGTCGGGAAAATTTCTATATGAGGAAAGTTTTTATATGAGGAAACTTTCTATTAGAGGGAACTTTCTCGGAAATAGTAAATTTTAAAGGGTATGGTTTTAGTTACCCCGAACATGATATCGGTTTAATAGCTGTGATTTAATCGGTTAAAGCCGAATATAATTTCGGTTAATGAGAACCAGGTTTAGCCGGTTTTAGGCGGTTTAGGAGGAACCCTAGGGGAGCCGAATATGATTAGGGTTTTATCTAGGGTTTTAACGGTTTGGAAAACATATTTTGGATGTGATTTCGAGATCTATAGGATCTGTGGTCGATGGTTTTAATAATTTCACAAGGACAACAAAGAAATCACGTGAAAAGGACTAGGGTTTAAGCATTATGACTTACGATTTTGAAGATTACAAAATCGTGAATCAAGCTTAGGATTTAGGGTTGATTTTCTTAGTTTATTCAATCAAGTGTTTCAAGCAAGAGAATCAACAATCAAATAAGCTGCAACAAGCTTATTAAACATGAAGAAAATCGAATAGGTTTATGTCATAAACATGGCCAAAAACGGTTGTTAGGTTTTTGTAGGTTAGGGTTTTATAAAACGAGTTTAAAACCTTTGAACATGCATAAACTTGTAATTTAAACAATCAATCAACAAGTTATCAATCAATCATCAGAGTATCAAACACTTTCAATCAATTAGAGATCGATTTTTTTTTTTTTTTTTTTTTTTTTTTTTTTATAGGGTTTTGAAGTGTTTAAACAACAGGTTCTATGGCTCTCAGTTTTAGAAGATACCTTTTCCACCTTTAGATTTCTGACAGGCTAATGAAACTGGGAGCTAATAGACCTCAGTTAGCCGCTACAAATTCCAAGGATTGATCACCAAAACTGGAGAAGCTGCTGGTTGAAGAAGGAAAAACTCGGATCTGGTTTTTTTTTTTCGGTTGATCGTCGTGTACTGTAAGTGTGCGTGAGGGCGCGTCCGACGTTGGATCGACAAACGGTTTTCACCAGTAGATTCGTCTCGTCGAGGGCTTCGATTTGATATGTAGATCGTCTTCTGGTTCCTCACGGTTTGGAAGATATGCGTCTTTTAAGTTTCGACTTGCTTTTAGGGTTTTGGTGGTGGCCGGATTTATTAGGGTTTTTCGCTTAGAGAGTCTTATCGTGCTGATAACGTGTTGTGAAAACTTAGAAACTTTATTAATCACTGGAATGTATATATAGAGTACATAGGAAATCTAGGTTAAGTACAATGCCCTGATGGGCCTAATGGGCCGGTATAAGAGTCCATATATGATATGTGTTATAACAATATTAAAGAATTTAAATGAATTCATTTAATTTGTAAATATAACATAAATAAACTTAATGTTACAATTAATCATTTTGGTTATCACAGTTGAATTTATGTTTATCAGCTAAATGGATTATCCATATAAAAATGATTGTATATGTTAAAAGTTAAAAGCTTAAAAAAAATTGTCTATTAATATTATTTACCAAGTGGAACTCCTCGGAACGTGGCACCGGCTTTTCTAAGATCTTCAAGAAGAGCCTTGGTGGTTTTGATGGTGATCCCACGGATGAACCAAGAAACTGGCGGCAAATTAAGAAGTGAAGAAGGCTGAAAAATCTGCTCCATTGTCACTTTCGACCCAACCTTTCCTTTTCCGCCGCTACATCTTTTGTATTCTTCTCGACTCTCCGGCAACTTTGACTTGCACAAGCGTTCTTGATCTACGAAGTCTGGCTCCACTTTCCAACTACCCTCCAACGTTTTCATTAACATCAAATTCTTTGTCTTATATTTTGCCTAAACAAGAGATGAAACCCAAATTAAACACAAACAAATTGTTTCTTGTGAGGGGATATAGAGATCACGTTTTTTTTTTTTTTTACTGTAAGAGTTTTATGGTTTTCATCGATAATGAGATGGATCGGGATAGCTCCAGACCACCAAAGAAAGTTCCATGTTAGAGCTTTCTCCACTTCCGTCGTCTGCCTTGGTCCATCTTTTTTAAAAACCTTTGTTGATTTGTTTTCCCTCATAAGATTATAAGACCAAACTCTCAAGTATTTGCTATAATAAGTTCTCCATTCGAATCAAACAATGATAAGAAAACAAAAACCAGAAGTTGACGTCCGGCCTCGTCCTCTCGAAAGAATGGCAAGTTGTTTGGATTAGTGAACATCTCATAGACTGCTTCAGGAGGCAATCCTATTGTAAATTGCATGTTCATATGACAAAGACCATTTTTTGTTTTCACCTTTCAAACATTATAACTATGTTAGAATCGCCAATATTTTTATTCTATATATAGTTTTCTCTTAAAGGCAAAAAATTCTATAAGTATTTGTTTGCTGATTTGATCTTACCTTGACCTTAGCAGGAGCATCATACCATGGATGCTTCTCCTCCTCGGCTCGCCAAAGTAATGCCTCCTTCTGCGCCTCAGCGACGTCAAAATATTTAGGATCTACTGCCCACACATGATCAGGTCCAGGGTCATTGGACTCGGCCTACAACAACAAACATAAATCATATTCTAATTTTTATAATTAGTCGTTGCTGATTTTACTTTCAGTGGTTCTCTGATTTATGGATATGAAACTGACATTTTGAGGTTGTTGATTGATCCAGCTACCAAATTCAGGAAATAGGCTCATTGCTCTCTAAAATCTTAATCCAAGAACGAAGATCAGAGCAAGTTAAAAATGACGATCCTTACCAAGTTTATATATAATGGTTTAAGGAATCTTAGATAAAAAGCTTGAATATATTATTTTAGACAAATACAATATTTGTTTTTGAGAGAATGGTGTACGTATACGTTTAAGTACCGCGAAACAAATCTCGTGAGTTGTTGACGTAGAGGCTACGAGACCTACGTGAAGAAAGATGAGATCGAAGGTCGATACATTGGAGAATTACGGAATCAGAATCCATCATGTTCCTACTAAGTTCGATTTCTGAATATAGCTTCTGCGAACACGAAAGCTTGTTCCCTGATTTAGGAGAGAAAATGTGCCGTCTTTCTTCTACCAGAATTAATATTAGGGTAACTTTCTTTATAAGATTTTTGTTACAAAAAAAAAAACTATCTTTATAAGATTCAAGTAGCCCTAATTAATTCTGCTTAAAAACGGTGAGACCAACCAAGTGCGAACTTCAAAGGGAAAAAAGAAAGAAGATTAAATATTTGGAATGAAGTCAAAACTAGTGAAACTAAAACTTAACGCCAAAATCCGGATTTTTCGCCCAAATTGCATAACTCGTGTGTTAGATTTTTGGAAATAGATTTTTTTTTTTGAATTTTTATATTACATTTATTGGAAAGTTGCGTTAGAATAGCGTAATCAAGAGTTGTCGTCATCACAAAATCTGAATTTTGCCAGAAATACAAATCTAAAAAGGGAGAATAGTAAATTTAGGACACATTTTGAAAACATTTGTCTCCATAAGACTTTTTGAACTTTTGGCACTTTTGGACTTAATTACTCTTTAATTAATGTACATTAATTTTAAAAATTCGGATTTAATATTTCTATTTTTTTAAAAAAAATCGAAAATACCAAAAAGGAAATAAATTTATTACCAAAATTTAGTTTTGGAAATTTTTTAATTTTTAAAAATTATTTTCTACAAAATGTGGAAAATATTTTCTACATTCAACGGTTTTGTAGAATATTATTTCTAAGCATTATTCTTTATAATATATGAAACCTAGAATCGATGTTTTACATGTTCTTCTTCATTCTATTAGCCATATAGAATAGATATTCTACAGACTTTTCAGTGTTCTACAACTTCTAAAATACATATTCTACACTTTTCACTATATTCTATAATTCACTAGAATGTGCATTCTACTAATCTTTCTTTGTTCTACGTAATGTGGAATATGAATTCTATTAAATCCATAACAGAATCTGAGAAAATTTAGGATTTATAGTCTCATCTACCAAACCAAATATTTTCTAAATATTCATTTTCTATTTTTCCATTTTTTTATTCTTTTCCACCGAAGTTCTTCGCTCTCTTTCAACAAAAACTTTTTCTCAAGTTTTTTCAGTTTATTACCTTATACTCTATTACGATTCCTTCTGTTACAAACATAGACAGTGAATATGTATGTTTAAATAATATACTTTTACACGATCTAGCTTTATATATAAGAACACAGCAAGTAAAAGTAGAAATTCCAAAGTTTATTATTTCTCTTGCAATCAGCTGTTTTATAAACTACATATATGGTTTTGTAAAAGGCTTTGTAAAAGGCAGAGAAACCTTCCAGTGTATGACGGTAAGCTGATTTTACAGTGGCCTAAGTTTTTTTTTTGGGCCAAGCAGAAAAATATGTTTTATCGTGCCGAAGTTTTTTTTTATCAAGGAAATCACGTTTTCTTTTTTAATTTTTTTTTCTTTTTCTGAATTAATAAAAAAAAGTTAAACAAAAATTACTGAAATAAAAAATTAAGAGTAATTTTGGATTTCAATTAAAATAAATCTTAGAGGGACAATGTCTAAGATAATAAATCCTAAATGAACAAATAGTTTGGGAAATTATCCTAAATTTCTAATTATCTCATCTAAAAATTTATTTTTTGCATCGAAATTCAGGAATTACAATTTTACACCAACATTTCAGAACTGTGATTTGGTGCAAAAATGGCTTAATATTTGACGCCAAAATTTCAGTATCTCTAGATACATGGTACAAAGTTTTCAGAATCTGACCACAAAATCACGCAATCATAAAACATGGAATATGAAATTGTATAATATATGAAATAACGAGTTGGGTCTAAGATAATTGAAGTCCTATAGTCGACTCGAAATTGTTTAAATTATAAGAAATATAAGCATATATATATATATATATTTACTACTTACAACATATATTTGTGAATGATCATTTCGGCTATAGTGTTTTCCCTGTTTGTTGCTTGAAGACATCCAGAGTTCAACTCACTAAACCCCTCGCATCGTCGCACCCGTAAACTGAAGCATTTGGAGCAGAGTTTTGGTGGTATTGATGGTGGTCTCTCGAATATAACAAGAAATTGGTGGCAGATTAAAAGGAAAAGAAGGCTGAAAGTATTGGTCCATTATCACTTTCGATGCAATCTTTCCTTGTCCACCGCTACATTTTCTGTATTCTTCTTTACTTTTAGGCTTCATGTGCATGCACAAGCGTTCTGAATCCACGTATAGTGGCTCCACTTTGTAGCTACCCTCAAACACTTTCATGAACATCATTTTCTCTTTCTTATATTTTGCCTGTCCTCAACAAACATGCAAGGGAAACGCAAGTTATGTTTTGCAGATACAAAACAAACATATTGATATAGAGACGCTTCTTACTGTGAGATCTTTTTTGTTTTCGTCGACAATTAGTGTTATCGGGATAGATCCAGACCACCAGAGGAAGTTCATGGCCACAGCTTTCTTTGTCTCTGCAATCTCCCTCGGTCCATCCTTCTTCAAAACCTTTCTTGATTTGTTTTCCTTCATACTGAAGAAAAATTTCACTCTCTCAAGTATTACTATAAGCAATACCACATTTGAAACATACAATGATGAGAAAAACACCAGAAGTTGGCGCCCAAACATGTCCATATCGAAGAATTTTCCGTTATTTGGATTAGTGAAAAGTTCGTAGACGGTTTCAGGGGGATATCCCATTGTCAATTCTATACTCATATGGCAAATACCATTTTTCGTAGCCACCTTCAAACGTCAGAAATATAAGAAACAGTTAAGATCTTTATTTATAAAAAATTGTAGCAATTTCTCTAAGGCCAAAATCAAAGTTCTTGCTATTGTGCTCTTACCTTAACTCTAGGAGGAGCGTCATACCAGGGATGCTTCTTCTCTGCATCTTTCCATAGTTTACCTTGCCTCAGCTGCTCATCTTTGTCATAGTATAGTTCTTGATTATTGCTATCTTTCTCTGACTTTGAGGTAGATTTAACATTCTCAGATCTCGTGGACTCGGCCTAGAACTACAAATACAATCATTCATACCTGGTTTCTAAATTTGACCAATAGTAGTTATTAGTTAATATTAAATGGACTTCCTTGGGAGCTCTGATTGATCGAAATGAAACTGACCTTAAGAGGCTGTTGAGTGTTCTGATTGATCCAAACACCAAATCCAGTTAATACACCCATTTCTCTAAAATTTTATTACCATAAACAATACTATTCTAATCAGAAAAGGAGCAAACGAAGATACAAAGTTTGTAATATACATGGGTTGAGAGACTTTAGATAAAATGGCTGCATGTTTAGAGAATGGTGTTACGTAGAGCGAAACAATGAAGTGGCCAGCTAAACTCTCGTGAGTTATTGACGTATAGGATAGACCTATCTGGTTCCTTTTAAGTGCTTCTAATTAAGAAGAATATAGAAACATTATATTTATTTTTTTAATAACATTTTGTGAACTTATATCGAATATTATTTGTCCGTTTTTAAAAATCCAAATCGTAATATATGCAGAAAATGAATTTAATTTTTTTTCCAATATACAGATAATGAGATAAATAGATGATGATGATATGATTCAATCTAAAAGGTGTGGTGTGAAGAAATAAAGATAAGAAGAGAAATGAATTTTTTTTTTAGATGAAAGTAAGACACAGAGATAGAGTAGGTCATGTAACTGTATGTGTAAAATGAAGGAATGGTAGTTTAATTTGATCCTTGTGTTCTAAGCATAAGATAATGAAAAATGGCCATGTTAATCATTACACTTATAAATGATGATGGTCAATGGATGATTTCACCTGATTTTTCTATTAAAGACAACAAGTAAACAACTGAATTTGGTTTATATATTTGATTTGTTTAGATATTACACGAAGTATTTATAATTTTATTTTTAACGAATAACATTCCGACTATATACAAGATATAGTTTTCCAAACAAGGTCTAATATAAACAACCCAACAGCCCTTAGAATATTCATTTGAACAAACATATATAAAGATGTGCACATAGATAGTAAGAATTACACGGATATTATTAAAGATTTGGTTATTTATGATATGAATTAAACGACATGATTTTTTTAGCGGATGAGGATTGAGGACCATGATGCTACTTTAGATTTATCCGATCCGCATGCATTGCATGGACCGTGGAGAATGGAACTTAACGTGAAAATATATATAAAGAGCAAGTAAGAGTATCGAGTTCGGCCTATGTTAACCGAACTCATGAAGTCAACTCGAATTTCGCCAAATGTTTTTTTCAAGGAATATAAGAATATATTAAATTTATAATTTATTACATATACTAGTGTATGATTACTTAGGGTAATTTTTTTTTTTCATGTTTCCTGCTTGATGTCTTGACCTATTTGACTTCGTCCAGCCCGTCGAATCCTGGTACCGTAATGTTGGACCAATAAAAACAGAGTTTTGGTGGTCTTGATGGTGATCCCTCGGATGTACCAAGAAACCGGTGGCAGATTAAAAAGAGGATTTGGCTTAAAGTATTGGTTAATTGTCACTTTCGACGCAACCTTTCCTTGTCCCCCGCTACATCTTTTATATTCTTCTCGACTCTTTGGCAACCTTTGCTTGCAAAATCGTTCTGAATCTACGTATAGTGGCTCCACTTTATAATTACCCTCGAACACTTTAAGAAACATCATTTGCTCTTTTTTATATTTTGTCTGTCCAAACCAAGAGAAGTTCGACTTAAGTTTCATCAATACAAAAGAAAAGCATTGACTATTGTAAGTGGGTATAGAAAAGCTTCTTACTGTAAGATTTATTTTGTTTTCATCGACAATTAGATTGATTGGGATAGGTATAGACCACCAAAGGAAGTCCCAAGCCACAGATTTCCTCACCTTTGCGATCTGCCTTGGTCCATCCTCCTTCAAAACCTTTACTGATTTGTTTTCCTTCATAATAAAGATATCACTATCTCAAGTATTGTTATAATTAACACCACATTCGAATCCCATTATATGAAAAAAGAAGAAGAAAAAAAACCATAATTTGGCGCCACTTGTCCACATCAAAAAATGGACCGCTCTGTGGATCAGTCATAACGTCGTAGACTGCATCCGGACTCATTCCCACAATTAATTCTATTTTCATATGGCAAAGACCATTTTCCGTGGTTACCTTCAAACATAAAAGATATCAGAATTTCTCTTCTCCTTTCGTTAGAGAAAAAAAAAGATATCAGAATATGTTAGAATTCATCATAAGGCAAAAAAGTATTGTAATTATGTTTGGTGATTTTTTCTTACCTTCACAATAGGAGGGGGATCGTACCATGGATGCTTCTTCTCTGCATCATGCCAAAGTTGATCTTGCTTCCGCACATGATCTATGTCATAATATACATTCTCCTCCTTGGCAGGAGCAGTATTGTCTTTCTCTGACACCGCCTTAGATTCCACATTCTCTGATCTCTTGTGCTCAGCCTACAACAACAAACGGAATCATTACCTGTTTATATCTATTTGTCTTTCTTGTTTTTTATTAATGAAACTGACCTTAAGAGGCCGTTGAGTGTTCTGATTGATCCAACCACCAAATCCAGGAAATACACCCATTTCTCTCTGAAATTTTAGTACCACAAATGATGCTTATCTAATCAGTACAAGAGTAGATGAAGATACAAAGCTAGTATATATTATGGTTTGAGGAATCTTAGATAATATGTTGTATCTTGAGAGTATATTGTACGTTAGTTTTACGTACAGCTGCGAAACAATGTAGTTGGCAGCTCAATTCGTGTGTTTTTGACGTACAGACTAGACCTACTCAGACAGAGGAGATCGATGGTCAGTAAATTGGAGAATGACCTTCTCTATGTGGTTCCTTCTAAGTTATTCTGAGAAGAATATATAAATAATGTAATATTGTATTCTATATTTGTTTTTAATAACAATTTGTGACAATGCTGAATACGTTGTGTCGATTTTTAAAACTGTAAATTGTAATATATGCAGAAGAAATTAACAATTTTTACAGAGGTGATGATATGATTCAGTATTAAGAAGTATGAAGACGAAATAAGGACGAGATCAGGGAAACTAATTTAGAAGAAAAGATAAAGTCATGGGTTATGCATGAGCGTGTAGAATGAAAAAATGGTAGGTTGGTCATTGTTCATGTTATTGCAGTAAGAAATGATGGTATATAAACGTTTCGATAAAGTGGTTTTCCTAATATGATATCCACAACAAAGCTAAAGTAGTTTGGGAAGAGGTTTGCTAACACACAAAAACAACTGTATAGATTTTGTGTGCTTAGGCTTCGTTCTGGGATGCTAGGGAGTAGGGACACAACCATAGGTTCATGGAAAATATGTAATAATAACGTTAAGTGATATATTATTGCAAGACCAATCTATTGTTTATAAAATAATTTTGACTGGTTCGTTAAGTAATCAAAGTTCGTTAATAAAAGGACGAAAGAATTCCGAAGGTTTTCTATTTTGCGAATGGTTCCTATTTGAACAATCCGACGGGTGAAATCCTTTGTAAAATACATTTGAACAAATATATATATATATATATATATATATATATACGTTTTTATTAATTAGGAGGATCCGAACCGAAATCCAACTAATTTTTTTTAAGTATTGCAACACATGTCACCGATCACCATGTATGGCATGGACCGTGAAATGGAATTATAAAGAGGATGTAAGAGCATCTAGTTGGTCCTTAGAGCATTGGTGAACCTCTTCTTGGAGTTTATAACTATTTTTTAATAATTTATTTTATTAAGGAATGGTTTAGAACCCAAAAGTTTTTTTGTTCCTCCAGTGAACCTCATTAGAGGTTCTTAAAATTGGTTTGATTGAAATCTAAAAATTTTGTGTTTAATTTTCCTTCACAAACTATGAAGCAAAAGAAGAACAGTGATCTCAAGTATGATGTTCTCGGTTTTGATTTTATATAATGAATGAATTGGTTTGCCAGTTTAAACACGTAACAAACCAGAAAGGAATCCAAACTTATGGTGTGTAATGATACATCATGCAAAGTCATTTAAAAAAAGAAGAAGAAGAAGCAAAAAACACGAAAACAGCATCTAAGTAGAAATGGTTTTGGATTTAGGTGGTAAGCTATATGATGGCAGAGACAATATCTCCATCAGCGGCCTTGAGAGCCTTAACTGCCCTTGGCTTAGACACTCCTGCTTGGGTCATCACCAGCTCGATGTCCTTTGGCTCCACACCTTCCTCATCCACCTCTTCATCATCCAGATCAACAGCAGCTGCAGCTGCACCACTAGATTTTGCAGAGAAACAACAGCTATGGTACCAAGGGAAGCTCCAATAATGCCATAAAGATCAGCTGTTAGCGGTTTTATGAGTCCGAACATGGGAAGAGCTAATGATGAGATTCATACAATTCCAGGGTGATATGAAAACAAGAGAATGGATTCTGACAGAAATGCACATGACAACAAGGTTATCAAAATTTAAGCAAACAGATATCTCTGCTACTCCTCTAAATTCAATGAAACCAATCCAAGCTAATTAAAGCAAAATCTAATCTTTGATGAAAGTTCTTCATTTTCAATTCCACATTTCTACAAAAACCACAAAACCATTCACAAGTTTCAATTTTAAAGAGGATACCTGTGAGACATGAGCAGTGCCAATCAAATATACATCGCAAGATCCCCTTTGTCGTTGGACTCGCATGTTAAATATCTTCGTCATCAGAACCGAACGAATCGGCGCCGGTTGTCACTGAACCGGAATCGCTGTGTTCTTCCTTCTCCTCATCGAGCAGCTCCTTCGTCTCCACATTCACCAACGAGATATCTCCGGAAGGCCTTGGGTCATCGACGTGATCGAATTCCTCTCCGAATTGAGCCTCCCGTATTACCGTCGGTTCCATTCGCAACAGTGATCGAGGAAAGAGTGATGCTTTGATTCCAGTGAAAATCCCAGCTCTTCTTCAAGTGAGTTCATGCAAAGCTTCCATTTTTTTTAGCCCATGATCTGAAATCACCAGAGAAAAATCGTGGCTGGAAGAGGAGAAAGAAATGTCGACATAAACAAAGAACCAGAGAAAGTCGAAGAGGAGAGAGAGCCTAAAAAAAATTATTGTTGAACGAATGAGAAGCAGACACGTCACTTATGAACCCTTCTAAAAACAGTCTTCAAAAACTCTAAGAGCATCCTAACAAATGCTTAGCAATAAAATAATATTAAACTTAAGAAAGAAGAAAAAAAAGAAAAAAATGAAGAAAGATAAAAAGGAAAGAAAGAAAATGAAGAGAGAGAAAACAAACACCAATAAATATCGCTTCTTTTCTATTTGTCCAATAAATAAATCCCACGTGCCTTATAAACATCGATGCTTATTAGTCTTATTTAAGCAGCAATTCTTCAATTTATTTTCATTTTGGATTTATTTTTTGGGCTAAGCATCATCTAAGCACTCCTGTTGTGGATGTTCTAAAACAAGAACCGATTCACCAAATATTGGGCTTTTTTTATTTTTTAAAAATTTAAAAATTTTATGAACCTTCCCTACTCTAAAACCTGTGTAAAACCGTCTGTTATAGATGCTCTTACCTCTTATAGTTAACTCCAATATCCTTTATAATTTTGTTTTAAAAATTTAAAAATATATTAAATTTACAAAATTATAACATATATGTTTACCAACAAAAAAAAACTTAAAACATATATTTGTATCATTTAGGCTAGTTTTTTTTTTTCATGTTTGTTGCTTGATTTCTTCACCTAGCTCATTCAATCGCTTAGCCCGTCGAATACTGGTAGCCACCTTTTGGACCGATAGGAGCAGATTTTTGGTGGTTTTGATGGTGATCCCTCTAATATACCAAGAAACTGGCGGCAGATTAAAAAGAGGATATGGCTGAAAGTATTGGTTCAATGTCACTTTAGACGCAATCTTTCCTTGTCCGCCGCTACATCTTTTATATTCTTCTCGACTTTTTGGTAACCTTTGCCCGCACAATCGTTCTGAATCTACATATATCGGCTCCACTTTATAGTTACCCTCAAACACTTTCATGAACATTATTTTCTCCTTCTTATATTTTGTCTGTCCACAATAAGCAAGAGAAACTCAGTTAAGTTCCACCAATACAAAGCAAAAGTATTGATTATTGTGAGGGATATAAAGAAGCTTCTTACCGTAAGATCTTTTCTGTTTTCATCGACAATTAGAATTATCGGGATAGGTATAGAAAACCAAAGTAAGTCCCAAGCCACAGATTTCTTCACTTTCATGACCTGCCTCGGTCCATCCTCCATCAAAACTTTTATTGATTTATTTGTCTTCGTAAGAAAAAAAAGGACAGTCCCAAGAATTGTTATAATTGATACCACATTCGAAGTATCTATTATGATAAGAAAGTAAACCATAAGACCGCGCCACTTGTCCTTATCAAAGAATGCACCGGTTTCTGGATTAGTGAAAAGTTCGTAGACTCCATCAGGAGTCAGTCCCACTATCAATTCTACGTTCATATGGCAAAGACCTTTTTTCGTTGTCACCTTCAAACATCAAAAAGTTAAGAAAATTTCGGGATCTTTTTCCGAATTCATCTTTTGGCAAAAAAAATTATATATTGAGATTATGTTTGGTAATTTTCCCTTACCGTGACCTTAGGAGGAGGATTATACCATGGATGCTTCTTCTCTGCATCATGCCAAAGTTGATCTTGCTGCTTCTCATGAACTTTTTTATAATATGCCTTTTTCTCCTTAGCAGGGGCATTATTAGTGTCTTTCTCTGATACCGACTTAGATTCAACATTCTCAGATCTCTTGGGCTCGTCCTAAAATAGCAAACAGAATCAATATTACCTGTTTATATTTATTTGATGGAAATGAAACTAACCTTAGGAGGCTGTTGAGTGTTCTGATTGATCCAGCCACCAAATCCAGGAAATACACCCATTTCTTCCACTAACCTAATTAATGAAAGAAATAGCAAAGACGATCTTAAACCTAAGCTTGTATATATTATGGTTTGAGGTATCTTAGACAAAATGCTTGCATCCTTGAAAGAATGATGTACGTTAAGTTTTACGTACTAAAAGGCAAAGAAGTGGGCAAGCAGCTCAATTCTCGTGAGTTATTGACGTACAAGCGAGACCTACCTGTGGTAAAGAGGAGCTAGATCGAAGTTCAATAAGAAATTGGAGAATGACCCTTCCTATATGGTTCTCTTTCTAAGTGCTTCTGAGAAGTATATAGAAGCAAGAATGTTATCTAGGAAGACAAATCTGTCTTTCGCAGAGAAATTATTTTAGTCGGATAGTTAATGGAAGACCACAAATCATTCCGGTTGTCTAGAAAGTTCCATCTATTCTCGGTAATACGGAAACATGGGCATGCACAAGCGTGTGTTATTTGCGTAGCATGGCCTCACTTTCCATCTATTTTTGAACACTGTCATGAACATCAAGTGGAAGATCGTAGGTAACATGTGCCTACCTAGGAAAAGATGAAGTGGGCAGCTCCAAGTGTGAGAGTTTATATATGAAAAAAAAAAACTAACTGGTGTGCGAATAGATAGTCAGTATACTGATATTAATGGTAGCGTTTGGGTCAAGAAACAAGTAAGTTAAATAACTTATAAAAGAAATTAACAAGTAAATTTTGAAAACAACCTTTGATTTGAAAATGTCATTGACATTTATTGCTATATATATATATATACTAGGTGTTTAGTCCGCGACTTGCGCAGGCCAAAAAGTTTCATTGAAACTTAAAATAAAATTTTATATCATAAATAAAAAATAATTAGATCAAGAATTTGATACATACAAAATTAAAATAAAGCTAATCTATGAAAGTAAACATTGTCTAACATTAAAAATTTTAAAATCAATACTAATAAGTGTATAAAATCAATAAACATTAACTAAAATAAGATTAATATGAATTATTCATCTTTTTCTCTTTTTATCTTTTAATTTTTTTTTCTCTATCATTTTCTTCTTTATTTCTTTTTTTTTTTGTTTTTTTTGTTTTTTTTGTTTTTTTTTCTTTATTTTCTATGTCTTTTTTTACTTTTTATTCTACTGGTTTTTCTTTTTTACGTCTTCTTCTTCTTCTCAACATCTTTTCCTTTTTCCTCTCATACATCTTTTGATTTTCTTCTCTTCCAGTTTTTATTCACTTTCTTCTTCTTTTTCAATGTATTATTATTCTCTTTCTTTTTTTTTTCTTTTCCTTTTTCATTGCCATCGTCTTCTTTGTTATCACCGACTTCATATTCTTCTGGTGTTTTTCGGCTTTTACATCATCTTCATATTCTTCTACTTTCTCCAATTCCTCCTCTTTTAAGGTTTTCATCCAATTTTTTCTCTTCACTATCTTCTTCTTCTTCTACTTTGTCTTCTATTTTATTTTATTTTTCTCATTCAACAGATTCTTATTCCTCTTCTTCCAATTATTCTTACTCTCTCCAAATTCTTCATCATATTTTAAAGATCTTTGTCTTATCTGTCTTTTTACTCTTCTCATGGTTTATATTTTCCCTTTTTTAATTTTTTCCTTATATTTTTGATTTTTTTTATCGTTATTTGTTTTCAAATTGTTCTTCTTTTATTGTCTTCATCTTTTTTTTTACTTCTTATTCATCTGATTTGTCTTCGTTTTTTTTATCATATTTACCTTTTTCTACTTTGTCTTCTTCATCTTCCTAGTTTTCCTTCCATTTTATT